AATTGGTTCTGGCCAGCTCAGTAGATTGCTTTAAAAAAGGCCTGGATTCTTTGTTAGATACACAGAATATAACTGGATACTAACATTTATAGGTAAAGGTGATCCAGGGAATATCCGATTGCCTCTCAGGGGATCAGGAAGGAATGTTTTTCGCCTGTTGGAGCAAATTGAATCATGCTTTGCTGGGTTTTCTTTTTTGCCTTTCTCTCGATCAACCGTGGGTATAGAATTATAAGTCTTTTTTTTATGGTTGAACTACATGGACTTTTGTCTTTTTTCAGCCAGACTAAATATATATATAACCAATTGGATGCATGCTTTCTGAACTAGAAAACAATACAGCTGAACCTAATTGCTTGATATAGAAGTCACAGCTAGTCACGCAGACAGGGAAATAAATAAAAAGATGGATATGGATTTAGCAACAATCATTGTGTTTGCAGGAGTCAGACACCAGACACCCATGTATTGTTTGAAAAATTGCTATTGTTTTCACATTGAGAAGTTTATCAATAGGTTCAGCTTTACATTAATGAACATACATGCTTGCTCTGCCACATTTTCAATTCTAGTAAAGTAGATATTGGTAGATTAGCCACTAGAGAGAGCTCTCACTGACTCTGCGCATTTCACTCTCTCTTTTAACAGCTATTAGGACAAGATATCAGCCATCCAGGGAATACATTGATTTCAATAAGCCTACGTTCACACTAGCCTTGTTAGCAAGTGGCAGACAGGCATTTGGGAAGCGTTTTTACCGTTTCCCAAATGCCTGGGAAAATTCTGCACATTGCAGCACATGGTGCTGTTCAAACGGGAGCATTAGCGTCGCGTTGCATCGCGTTGCGGCAAACCGGACGCTTCTGGTCGAGTCAGGAGGAGTTGAAGCCTCCTATTCAAGTCTATGGTGCCGCTCCGCAAACGCCCGGCGGTGCGGTTGCGATGCGGTTGCGGGGCATTTATGAAGAGTTAACAGCATTCAAACTTCATTATAGGCGTTTGTGGGGCATTTTTAACGCTTGGCAAACGCCTAGCAACCTCCGCTAAACCGTGCAGGCGGCGTTTGCAGAGCGTTTTTAATCAACGCTTGTCAAACGCTATAGGGGTGTTTGGCAAGAGTTGGAAAAACAGTCAAGTGTGAACGAGCCCTAAATCAATCAACTCATAGACTTGCATTGTGAGAAGGAGCAGTAAAGCATAGCCATTTTGCAGCATTGCAAAGCATACAGCAGTGCCTATGCATGCAATGAGCAATATGGCTGCTGATGTGTGCATATTTCATTACAAATTATAATTAAAAGGAAGATTTTAAAACATGAATACGCTTTCATAAGTTTATTTATATCAAGCTGATCTCTTTTCTACAACCCTTCAGGGACTAATGTTGTGTCTCTGCACAGGTGAATGTACTCCAGGGGACATCGAGGTGAAACACAAGGTAAGTGACAACAGTGCAGCTCATCTTGATCTGGTTATGGATATTTGGACAATTCCATTTGGTAATGTATTTTCTTTTAGCAGAGAACTGCACGTGCAGTGGCCAATGAAGAGGAAGAGGGCTCTGGAGGCATGGACAACACCCCATTTACCAAAAATAAAGCTGGTAGGTGCACCCCTTAGGCTACCGTCTATATAGCGACAGTAAATATGTTTTCATATTTGAAAGGGTACATGCTGTGCATGTTCTAAGGATAGCAGGTACACTATATTCCCAAAAGTATTGGAACACACCTCCAAATCATTGGATTTGGGCATTCCAATCACCTCCATGGCCACAGGTGTATAAAAGCAAGCACCTAGGCATGCAAACTGCTTCTACAAACATTTGTGAAAGAATGGGTCACTCTCAGGAGCTCACTGAATTCAAGTGTGGCACCGTGATAGGTTGCCACCTGTGTAATAAGTCCATCCGTGAAATTTCCTTTCTACTAAATATTCCACGCTCAACTGTTAGTGGTATTATAACAAAGTGGAAGAAACTGGGAACAACAGCAACTCAGCCATGAAATGGTATGCCACATAAAATAACATAGCGGGGTCAGCGCAGGCTGAAGCACACAGTGTGCAGAAGTTGTCAACTGTCTGCAGAGTTAATAGCTAAAGACCTCTAAATTTTATGTGGCCTTCAGATCAGCACAACAACAGTGCATAGAGAGCTTCATTGGATGGGTTTCCATGGCCAAGCAGCTGCATCCAAGCCTTACATCACCAAGCGCAATGCAATGCGTCTGATGTAGTGGGGTAAAAGCACGCCGCAACTGGACTCTAGATCAGTGGAAACGTGTTCTCTGGAGTGATGAATCAGGCTGCTCTGTCTGGCAATCTGATGGACGTGTCTGGGTTTGGCGGTTGCCAGGAGAATGGTACTTGCCTGACTGCATTGTGCCAAGTGTAATGTTTGGTGGAAGGGAGATTATGGTGAGGGGTTGTTTTTCAGGGGTTGGGCTTGGCCCCTTAGTACCAGTGAAGGGAACTCTTAAGGCATCAGCATACCAAGACAATTTGGAAAATTTCATGCTCCCAAATTTGTGGGAACAGTTTGGGGATGGCCCCTTCCTGTTCCAACATGACAGCGCACCAGTGCACAAAGCAAGGTCCATTGATGAGCGAGTTTGGTGTGACCTCAACCCAATAGACCTCCTTTGGTATGAATTAGAGTGGAGACTGCGAGCCAGGCCATCTCGTCCAACATCAGTGCCTGACCTCACAAATGCGCTTCTGGAAGAATGGTCAAACATTCCCATAGACACACTTCTAAACCTTGTGGACAGCCTTCCCAGAAGATTTGAAGCTGTTATAGCTGCAAAAAGTGGGCCAACTCAATATTGAACCCTACGGACTAAGACTGGGATGCCATTACAGTTCATGTGCGTGTAAAGGCAGGCGTCCCAATACTTTTGGCAATATAGTGTATGTTTAGTCATTTGTGGGGTAATATTTCATATACCCTGTATTAGGAAACGGTGCACACACATCTGTATACCAGACAAAGCAATCTACATACTAGCTGAACAACAGCTGTGAGAATTTGCCCAGTTTCCACCGACATTAGCTTATAAGTGGTAAAGCAGATTCCAGCAGTCTTTTGAAGGGATTCAGTACTGTTTAAAGCTTTCTAATTGTTTTCTAGAGCTTAATAACTGTTTCTGTATACAAAAATAAGTGCAGCTAATAAGGTCAGGCCTGAAGTATAGTTAACCGCTTGCCAACCCGCCACAGTACATATGTTGCGTCGGGCAGCAGCTAAAGGCCCAGTAACGTACTGGTACGTTATTGCCTGTTTCCAGGTTTTGGGAGATTTGACAAAGCGGGAATTCCTCAACAAATCCTGGCCAATGATTCATGGCCAAGACCTGCTGATCAGTTGTGCAGAGTAGGGAAAAGAAACATATTGACGTGTAGTAAAAAGCAGCACACAGTACATATGTTAACACTTGTTATGCACACAATTAACCTCTTGATTGCCCCTAGATATTAACCCCTTCCCAGCCAGTGTCATTAGTACAGTGACAGTGTATATTATTAGCACTGACCACTTTATTAGTGTCACTGGTGATGTAAGTGACAGTTAGTCAGTTCTCCCCAGCATCACTTAGTTGTAGATTGTTCACCACACTATCACAGTTCCACTATAAGTCGCTGATTACTAGTATAAAAAAATGTTTTATTCCAGTACATATCCCATTGTTTGTAGACGCTATACAGTTTAAGCAAACCAATTAATATACACTTATTTGGATTTTTTGGGGACATGTAGCAGAACACTTTTTGGCTTAAATTTATGAAGAAATGTTTATTTTTAAATTTTTTTATTTGATATGTTTTATAGCAGAAAGTAAAAAATATTGGGTTTTTTTTCAACATTTTCAGGCTTTTTTCATTTACATAATAAAGAATTTAAAAACCATTGGTGATTAACTACCACCAAAAGAAAGCTCTATTTGTGTGAAAAAAAAAATATATACATTTTGTTTGGGTACAGCATTGCGTTAAAGTAGTGCATTTTGTGGAAAAAATTGTTGTTTAGTTTTGGCTAGCGTGGACAGACATTGGAACATCTGATTACTGCTGTCTGTGTCCTCCTTAGGGAGATTCACCCTCTCTCTATTTGTCCTGTTTACTGTTTTTCACTGAAAGAAAATCCCATTATTTGGGTTATCACCACAACAGGAATAGAGGGGAAATATTCCAATGGGGGTCTTGTTTTAAGTTCTGGTGACCCTGTTGGCAACTAGGGATTCCCTCACTTTGGAGAGATTTTTTCTTATTTCCTGTTTTTTCCTATTGGACAGAAGGAGAAATCTCCCCAATGGGAGGCCGCAAAAAAAAACGGAAAGGTGTATAATCCTCTCTTACTTTATCCAAATTTGCTTTTCTGCCTCTGTTTTATATCTGCCATACTACCAAAGGGAAAAAAGTTATGTCTAATTTAAAAAATGTCTTACAATATCCTAAAATTATCATTATTTAAAAATGTACTGTCCTACCCATCCCTTTACAACATTTTTCTGCAAGTTTCCAAGAAAGTGATTTTTTTTAGACTAGATAGTATAGTGTAGGTCATTACTGTCAATGTTCCCAGTGGGGATATTTTTTTCCCCACCCCTCTTTGAAGGGTGAGAAGAACAGGAGGTGAAGGGAAATTTCCAGCAATAAAAGTACATTTTATTATAACATGGTGGTTTTAGAACATCTGGTAGGCTTTTTTGCTGTTTCCCAACTGTGTAGAATTTTCGGCCCTTTCCATTCGGGTGACAGTTGTCAGATTGGACAGTAAATGAGGGGAAAAATCTCCAAAGCAAATAAAAACAGACAGAAAAACAATGAATGTTTCCAACGTTGTTCAAAACTAACAGAACATTTTGGATGGAGTTGCACTTAAATTGCAAGACCCTGATTACTAATTCCTCTCTTTTCTTTTATTAGCATCCTGCCATATAGCTCCGGCTGCTGGTCCTTGTTTGGGATCCAGTGATCGCTATTTCTACAACACCTCATCCATGGCCTGTGAGAAATTCAAATATGGTGGCTGCCTGGGAAACCCTAACAATTTCTTTACCGAACGGGAATGCCTCCAGACATGCAGGACTGAGGGTTCGTATAGGCTGGTGAAGCCATTCCAATATCAGTAAAATGTCCAGTAACACAACCTGACCAGTAGACACAGGGCGAAAACATTAAGGGTCTGTGATGACAGGCTTTTGTCAATGGCATCAGTTTACTATTAATTTTTTATGCTTCTGAGATCTTTCATTTCATCCAGTGGTGCATTGACCTGTGGTTGATGTCTTTCTGACTATGGATAAGCTAAGGTTTGAGCTGAACTTGGTTCATCCTAATGGATCGTGAAGCTGTCAAATGACAGCAGGCCACTAATCAGCTGTAGCCATGGGATTTACTGCCCCTCAGTCACACATAACAAAGGGGTGGGGTTTCTTGTGACATCTTTGACCTAATATGGTCACATGGCCATATTTTCTTGATTTCATTGTTCAGATATGGCACTGCGGATATATTAGGTCAGTGAAACCCAAGAAAGTGGTAAAGGGCATTCCAATTAACTTAAAGGATAAGTTCACCTTTTCACAAAAGATAATAAAATGCACATGTTTTTGCAGGTAAAAAAATGTGCATTTACTATTTTTTGTGTTAGGAGCCTGTAAAGCATTGCACCAGTAATCAGCAGATCACTGATGCCATGCAGGTCTCCTGCAGACCTGTCAGTGTATCTGCTTGCTCGTACCTTGTATGGGCAAGATGATACTTACTGACAGGAAGAAGCAATGAACTACCACAGCGCTCAACAGAGCCATGGTAATTCATTGAGAACTACAAGCCAACAGCCTCAAAGGCTGTCAGAACTTGTACTTTTCCATTCACAGAAAACTGTGAATGGGTGACGTGGCCATATAGGCGGAGACCCGCACAACCGCATTTTCTTTTACATTTTGACGGCTAGCAGGGGGAAAAGGATCCCCCCCTAGCTATAAAAACAGGGGATCAAAAGGGAATGGGGCCAGTCCCTTTGTAACATGTTATGGGTATGTGTGTAACATGTTACATGTTATGAAAGGTGAACTTATCTTTTAAAATGTTATTAAACCCACAGCAGTAAAATCAATCTTTATATGCAGTAAAGCATGTTTGTTATACTCACTGTAGAGCCTAAGGGGTTAATCCTCTACATTATATAAAAAGTCTGTTTGATCCTGTCCTCTCTGATCCTCCCCTTCTTTTGCTGTCCCCATTGCATCTGCCTATGGGCAGAGACCAGTGGCAAGTCTGCACATGCTCTGTTTGGTGTGCATTGCTAAAGAGTTGGGGGGTTTTTTTCTTGGGGGGGGGGGTGCATATGATCAGCACAGGGCCAATCAGTGCTGTCCAGATATAAGGTCAGGGGGTCATGCACCTCATAGGACAGTCAAAGGACTCCTGAGAACTCCGCCTGCAGGATTAACCAGTGCTTGGCCAGACACTGATACCAGTCACAAGAATGCTATGTACTGCTTTTATATTTTATATTTACTAAAATAATTGCATTTCCATGTTCTGTGTACAGTGGAAGACCAGATATAGTGCATGTGGGGTCCTGGGTTTAGTAACACTTTATTCAAGCTCCAAGATGTACACAGGGCATACAGCCATCCATTTGAGTTGCTACTGAGTTCTTCATACAACAGGATTTTTTCCAACATAAGGGTCAAAAAAGAAATATTATCTTGTGAAAAACAGCCAAAACTATTAAACCTTCACCCATTCAAAAAGAAAATACAAAACATTAATATGCATTGTTGGCTGTTGAAGGGGCTGAGGTGAAGCATAATACAGTAAAGATAAAATGGATTCCTCCTTCGTTCTTGACCAAAAATACTAATCTCAGGTTTAATTGGCTGCAGTGGAACCCTTGTCTCTCTACCAGCCTGATAAGCTCTTCTTTCTTGCAGCTGCTTGCCGTTTGCCCATTGTAACAGGCCCATGCCGAATGTCTGAAACCCGCTGGGCGTTCGACTCAGCCCAAGGCAAATGCATCACTTTCCTGTATGGAGGCTGTAAAGGAAACGGCAATCACTTCTACACAGAGAAGGAGTGCAAGGAGTACTGTGGGGTTCCCACAGGAGGTAAGTGCACAGATAGTGGACGTTTATAGAAGTTTTCTATTTCACACAAACTTTATCCACTGGCTTGTTCGAATTCCCCCTCAACTCTTAGTGAATACATGGCTTTGTATTTCTTCATTCTGAATTTTGTGGTCAACTGATTTTTATTCTTACTCTCAGAAAAAATACTAATATCTGGTTGTATAACATATCGTTCAGTGAGTACACTGTAACTAAGGCAGCAATGCTCAAAAAATTAAGATCAAATCATTTTATGACTTTACAGGATGACTAGTATTTTACTTTACTTATTTTACTTATTTGGACTATGAAGCATCAAGGTGAATAGTGAAACTTCACTGAAAATTCATCCCTCCTTCCTGTGCCATCATCAGAACCTTTTTTTTTTCCTTTTTTCTGGGAGCGAGTATGCTGTCACTTTCACTTTTATTTCCTAGAGAAGAATAGCAGAAAATCTTCTCGAATCCCCCCATCCCAGCATGCCTTCTTCTGGAACACATCATACATCACAAGAGGCTGTGGGACCAGTCACAAAGCACAGCTCCTTTTGCACATGCACAATGGGGAGCTGACTGTGAAACAGCAGGAGGTCACAGGTGGCTTCCCACAGTGAACCTGCTAACCATTTTTAAATGTAAAAAAAAATATTCATATCTATCTATCTATATATATGTATACTCACTGGCCACTTTATTAGGTACACCTTGCTAGTTCCAAGAAAATATCTCCCACACCATTACACCACCACCAGCAGCCTGAACCAATGATACAAGGCAGGATGGATCCATGCTTTCATGTTGTGTACGCCAAATTCTGACCCTTTAGCCCTTTTGAAAAGGTGCACAAGCACGAAACATGTTAGGAAGGAGCCCAGCTGCTGACGTCATGCCGCACAGGCCGCGATGAAGGCCGGCGGCCATCTTTATTGTGTATTTTGCCAGATGTAAGTGCATTCTCTTTCTATACCATATTCTAAAAAATAAAATACTGCACTATCAAGAATTCTTTCTTTGGCTCATTATTTAACGAGCCCCCAAGGTGAAGTCCTGCAACATACCCACTGTATGCCTATCTAATTGGTCTATGATATCGGACATGATGTCCCTGGAGCCTGTGTGTGAGGTCTGCTGATCACCTGACGTGCTGACGTGTGCCAGATGATTCGTAACATCCCTATCCACATCCAGATGACCATGACGGGATTATTATACACAAATGCAGTTATATATTGCGCTTCTGGTTAGTGCAATATTATACAAAAGCTTCCAGCCACTGAGTCACGGATTTCACTAATATTTGGACTTTATCATGTCATATATAGATCACTAAAGTCACTTTATTTTTTCACTTTACGTATGTGTACATCATACTGATACGTCAAAATCATGCAATACCACTGTATATTGTATCACTCATAGCGCTTTTTAGCGCCTACACCTTTTTTCTCACTTTAATATTTTCTTAGCGCTGCATTTCTGTATTACATATTTTACTTAGAGGATCAGATGTTTTACCTTCATGCAAGTGGCTTGTTACCTAGCGCTCGTAATTTTTACCTTTTTATCATATGTTGAAATTATTGTATATAATTTTACAATCCTGAAGAAGGGGGTGCCTGAAATCCCTGAAATAGGTTTCCTAGAGTGGTGTGCGTAAATGATTTAGAAATATTTGAAACTTTTTTATCTTCTTGTCCCAAAAATAATACATTTAATATGTACAAAGCTTTCTACTGATATAATTTGGACATGAATATCAAAGTTAAACTTTGAGTGCATACTGTAAGTACAAAATAGTGTGCATCAGTGATTGTCAATTTACAAAGTATAGAGGGCCTCAAATGCGGCTCAAATGCAGCTCCTGATGTCTCCAAAGGGGGGATTAAGCAAGTAATGCTACTGAGGACTTACTGGAGGAAAGGGTCAGGGACTGAAGTCATGCTGTAGGGGACAGTTAGAGACTAGGGACTTGTTACATGAAAATGCTAGAGATCACTGTTAGACCCCCTTTACAAATCAGTGATCCCACTACTAACTGCTTTGGCCCTTGGGCTATACTTCAAACACCAAAAGGACTGGAGTTTGGACACCAGGGGACAAAAATAATTTAGAAATATACAATGGCTGATAACGGTGTAAATGTTTGTCCTTTCAGATGAAGAAGAATTCCTGTAAAGAAGAATCAATACCTGGAGAGTACCTCTGCTTTGCTCTTTACATCCCATAAATTCTTTTTTGTGCAATCCAATCTATCCATACAGGGACATCTGCAAATTAATGAGATTTTTACAAGGCACTTATACGAATCTGAAGAATACTGATAGTAAAAAAGAAGGCAGGTGCTGACACAGCTCACCGGACTTGACCTAAACTAAAGTATCACCCTTGGGTATACTGATCACTAACATAATATAATCGTTTTTGGATAAACATTCCCAGTAATCTAATGATCATCATAATTTTTTGGCAATACTATGAGCACCCAATTTGTGAAGAGTCAATCTGTCTACTGAAGTCACATTACATTTTCACGGTTATTCCTCAGACTGCCGATGGCATATTAGCAGTCACTCTATACTTCTCTATCATGAACTGTTATGTCTATAATAAAGTATAAACTAGCTTAGACTCTTGATAATTAATAAAAGAAGACCTGTATTGTACAAGAAACAGTATGTTAAATGTATTGCACAAACTCAGCATACAAATAAAGTCAAGTTTATACTGAGTCAAGTTTATACTGACTGTGCATCACTTTTACGATTAGTTCCTTCTGTTACCACATTTTTATACATCGCTCCAAAAAATTGAAGAAACACTTTGAAAACACATCAGATCTCAATGGGGAAAAATATCATGCTGGATATCTATACTGATATGGACTGGGTAATGTGTTAGGAATGTAAGGATGCCCCATCGTTTGATGGAAATGAAAATTATCAACCTACAGAGGACTGAATTCAAAGACACTCCGAAAATCAAAGTGAAAAAATGATGCAGCAGGCTAGTCCATTTTGCTGAAATTTCATTGCAGCAACTCAAAATGGTACTCAGTAGTTTGTATGACCCCCACGTGCTTGTATGCATGCCTGACAACATCAGGGCATGCTCCTAATGAGACAACAGATGGGGGTTTATTTACTAAAGCTGGAGAGTCCAAAATCAGACTCCCTTCTGCATAGAAACCAATCAGCTTCTAACCTCAGCTTGTTCAATGAAGCTTTGGCAATGAAAACTGGAAGCTGATTGGTTTCTATGCAGAAGGGAGTCTGATTTTGGACTCTCCAGCTTTAGTAAATAAACCCCATGGTGTCCTGGGGTATTTCCTCCCATATCTGGACCAGGGTGTCACTAAGCTCCTGGACAATCTGAGGTGCAACCTGGCAGCGTTGGATGGACCAAAACATGATATCCCAGAGATGTTCTATTGGATTTAGGTCAGGTGAGTGTGGAGGCCATTCAGTGGTATCAATTCCTTCATCCTCCAGGAACTGCCTGCATACTCTCGCCACATGAGGCTGGGCATTGTCATGCATCAGGAGGAACCCAGAACCCATTGCACCTCCGTAGGGTCTGACAATGGGTTCAAGGATTTAATCCCAATACCTAATGGCAGTCAGGGTGCCATTGTCTAGCCTGTAGAGGTCTGTGCGTCCCTCCATGGATATGCCTCCCCAGACCATCACTGACCCACCACCAAAACGGTCATGCTGAATGATGTTACAGGCAATATAACGTTCTCCACGGCTTCTCCAGACCCTTCCACGTCTGTCACATGTGCTCAGGGTGAACCTGCTCTCATCTGTGAAAAGCACAGGGCGCCAGTGGTGGACCTGCCAATTCTGGTGTTCAGTGGCAAATGCCAATCGAGTTCTATGGTGCTGGGAAGTGAGCACAGGGCCCACTAGAGGATATCGGCCCTCAGGCCACCCTCATGAAGTCTGTTTCTAATTGTTTGGTCAGAGACATTCACACCAGTGGCTTGCTGGAGGGCATTTTGTAGGGCTCTGGCAGTGCTCATCCTGTTCCTCCTTGAACAAAGGAGAAAATACTGGTCCTTCTGATGGGTTAAGGACCTTCTTCGGCCCTGTCCAGCTCTCCTAGAGTAACTGCCTGTCTCCTGGAATCTCCTCCATGCTCTTGAGACTGTGCTGGGAGACACAGCAAACCTTCTGGCAATGGCATGTATTGATGTGCCATCCTGGAGGAGTTGGACTGCCTGTGCAACCTCTGTAGGGTCCAGGTATCGCCTCAAGCTACCAGTAGTGACACTGACCCTAGGCAAATGCAAAACTAGTAAAAAATAGAAAGAATGAGTAGGGAAAAAATAATGTCAGTGGCCTCCACCTGTAAAACCGTACCTGTTTTGGGGGTCGTCTCATTGTTGCCCATCCAGTGCACCTGTTGTTTATTTTTTTTTCAATACCAAAGCAACTGAAAATGATTAAGAATGCCCTCTGCTACTTAACCGACCAGATCAATATCCCAGGACTTTAACTGACTTGATGCTATACTCTGATTAAAAAGTGTTCCTTTAATTTTTTGAGCAGTGTAGATTGGTTGTAACGATCATCATGTAGATATATATAACATTCAATGTACACTTGCTGACACAATGCCTAGATATTTTACATCTGAAAACCTTTATAAAACCTGGAGACATTGCTGTGTGACTCTATATGGTCAAACACAGTTTAGTGTAATAACTCTTTCCATGGTTTTTCATACACTGGGGTGCAGGCAGAGAATTTTGCTGCTGAAACTGATCGGGAAAGGTATGTATGAAAATATCTATGATCCAAGCCCCAAACCATGGGGTAGTTGTTAGCTGTGCATTCTAAATCCTCTTGCAAATGCCCCTGGAATCACCAAAATCTCTATTGGAATATTGCCTTTACCAGCGATTAATCACACTGGGGGAATTTTACTAAAGCTGGTGAACTCAGAATCTGGTGCAGCTCTGCATGGTAGCCAATCAGCTTCTAAGTACAGCTTGTTCAATTAAGCTTTTGCAATAAAACCTGGAAGCT